CCGTCGGCACACCTACGATACAATAATATACAATACTAATGCTTTGATGGAATAATAATGATAATTTTTAATCATTATTGTCATTATTTTTGTTAATGGCTCCTCGTTGGCGAGGAGCCGAGGACTAACCACTGAATACGACCTACATTTATGCATAAGGTCGTTGGATCCGCAAATGGAATCTCTGGATTACAGTGTAGTTCTGAATCAAACTTGACATAATTAGGATATGACGTTATGTCATATTAGCATATTATATTATCAAGCAGCGCGTGATGTAAATTGATTACTTCTTTAGTTCAACAGGTCACACTTTACTCGCTTTATACAGGCGCAATGTTCCAATCATACGTCAATATATTATAAAAATAATTCTGTATATTTAGTAGAAATTAAAATTATTATCTAGGTAATAATATTGCAGTGTACGAAAACTTATTCTTAACGTGTGGATCCACAAACTATCATAACATTCATTACCATATGTAGATGAAAATAGTGAACATTTTCCGGACAGGACGTGACATAATAATTGGTCTGATGAGCTCCTCCTGATAATTATTATATCAACCCGGCCGGTTTTAAGAGTTTACTTGTATAATAAAATTAATATTTTATAAATTTAAATAACTGTGCATCATTAAATTCCTTGGATATGTGCTTATCATGTAATTCATAAGGTATAACAATTGTTCCTTTTTTTTTATTGTTGTACAGTGTGTGATAAATTATTTAAAATTATACGACAACTCGTTTTTAATTTATTAAAAACAATTTCATGACAATTCGTATTGTAAATATTTACATTGTTCTACCAAGTTCATTATTATTTTCATATTAAATTGGACAATTCCTTATTTGATGCCACCTTCTGAGTGTTGTCATCAGCRCTTTTATGAGCTACATAAATCCTAATGTTTTCAACGATATGATGAAAATAGATGTCAACGAAATAATCGATTTTGAACGAAATATTATATAAAAAGAACGTTATTATTGTAAATAGAAAATCAAAATGTTATGTAATAACAAATAATCGTTCAAATTTAATCCAAACAAAAAAGTTTTAGGCGTATGAGAAGAGAACACCGCCAACATAATATATAGATTATCATTATGTTCTTTTATTTATAAAAGTATAAMATKTTAAAATTTTTCAAAATATGTTGATAATATCAAAATGTTACTTACTCATATTTTATTGTCAACTATTATAATGATTGAGATGGACAGATGGCACTTTATATAGGTGAAGCTGAAGACGACATCAAAAATAATAAAARCAATAATATTTCAGTTTTGTTCATGACGTATTGTTTAGAAATTTTATTCCAGTATAGAGATATTGTGTATTATTATATGATCATGTCACCGTATAGCTAGAACCAATGATAAATATGGTGTTCAACCCAAGTAGAGGTCACCAGTCTGGACTCGATCGATTCGAAACAATCGAGAGGTGTCGTCTCATCGTCATAATATTATYAAACTCATCTCGGACAAACGTTAATAATCGTGCCACTCTGCCACCCACCAATGTACCTACCTACACCTATGCTTTCATATCGATGTCTCTTATACTATGGCGCTTTCAGCAAATGTGAATTTTTTGATTAACGGCTCACCCTTTCCAACGAGCTGTTTCGTTATCCACGGACAGTCGAAGATGATAATAACAGTTATATAAATTAGTGTATAGTTAACAGCCGTAGTCATGATATATAAGAAATGGTAGTAACATTATTGGTAGGTATARAGTGGTGTACCGTACAATATTGTTATTATTATTATTATAGTAGGTAGTCGGCAATTGTAGTGTATTGTATAGCAGCAGTGAAGTCGGTGGTATACGAGCGACGGGAAGGTTGATTAAATTTTCTGACGCGCTGGCTGCCGCAGTGGTTAGCGGGCCGGAAAACGGGTTGAAAAATTGAAATAGGAAATTGCCGTTGGTCTTGTTCACCCCACACTTGCCCCGTGTGTAACCGGTGAAGCAGGGTTTCCTTCATTGCCGACTGTACGCAGTAGTGTGAGTATATATTTACACACTCAGGCACATACAACGTACGCACGCGCACTCATTCTTCCATTTCAAGGACCATCGATTCGGTTTATATACCGTTGGTGGATTATTATTATTATTATTATTATTATTATTATTATTCTTATTACTTTTTTTTTTGTTCCTTTTGTTTGATAATATTTTTATTTTCTGGAACGTTTAATTTTGACTCGTATGCCTATATAATATATATAATAGGATTTCAAGAGAAAAAAAACACAACAAATGTTGCAGACATTTGCCCGAGTGAAAATAATGGAGACGACAAGTGTAAAACGGTTTGGAATTTTTTTTTTTCGTTGATGATATACTCAAAAAATTGTCTATGATTGAGTTATAGTGTYATTGATTGATACCTAGTAATAACCAGAGTATACGTTCGGTATATTATTAAATGAAAGTAATGACAGGTGCGTGACCATAATTCTATTTCGTTTCTTTCAAACACATGTACATATACGATTCATGTATGTCAAATTTATTCTTCACTTATATTGTTTTTATCATGAATCATATAAGTCATAATGAAATATTAATTTACCTAACAGAATACTAAACAAAAAAGTTCATAACACAATTGTTTGAATTTATAGTCAACAAATTTCATTAAAATATGGGGAGATGGTATTTTGTGCCACTTTTATTACTTGTAATTTGCGCCACGAATAGGTACATTTAAGTACGTATGTAATTTGCGCTAAAATATAAAAATATAACATGTATTTTGCGCCACATATACTAATTAATTTTGGTATTTTGCGCCACTAAAGAAAACAAAATGGAAAATGTAATTTRAGCCACACTTTCAACTGTAATAGTAGTTGGAATTTACAAGGCAGATAAATTTAGCGACATCGCATAGGATATACAATAATACGTTTTGATGCGTCCGACGCGTGTCACATATTGTCTCAATATCGTCAAATTATATTTTATAATTATGACTGATTTTTATATGTTTTATTAATTAACGACAATTTAGATGTTTAATATGCATGGAGTTTGATTTTTTATATACATTTATTTATAATTACGAGTTTAATATGACTAATTTTTATGTTTTATTAATTAACGATAATTTACATGGAGTTATTTATACTATTATAATATAAGTGGCAMAAATTACTAGGTATTTTAATAAGGCAGAAAAAAGCGCAAATTACAATTTTAGTAGGTACTCTAGGGCAAAGATTACATATTTTCTTTTTATTTAATTTTATTTGGCGCAAATTACCAAAATACATTTTTAGATGTGGCGCAAATTACATATATTTTTTTTTCGGTTGATTTTGGTGCAAATTACATATGCCCAAAATATGTACTTTTTGAAAAAAACAACCAAATTGTGAGCGTATATAGAAGTTTTAATATTTTTAATAATTTTTTTTTTAAATGTATATTTTTTCTTTGAAAAGCTCAAAAATATAATTAAAGCTTGACCTACCCTAATCTTACCTTTTTTATTATCCATATAAGTTGGCAAAATATGAATCTTATTGTACTAGTATAAGCACTATATTATTTATAATCAATTAAAAGCTAAAAAACATTCTAAAAGGTTATTTATGGTCACCTAGTAAAAAAAACTTTAAAACTTAATAGGTAAAAAAATTATTTTAACTATAAGTTCATTGATCTCTAAAAAGAAATATGGTTGTCTAGGTTAWTACATCATTATTAAATTAATAGTTAATTTATATGGTCCAATCAATTTTATAAAAATAAACTAATAACACAAATAAAGAGAATTAGCTACATAATGTCAGAGAGCTTATTTTATATTYAAAAACTTAAAATATTGTTGTTTCAATATAATTAGGATGAATATTTATACACACAATTTAGTATAAAATGAAATTAAAATAAGAATTATGTGCAATGCTCATTTATTATGCCGTTATTCATGTATTTATATATTCAAATATTTAATATTTAAGCTAATGCTCTAAGAGTTAATTTTGCTATACATTATTAATTCATAGTTCTTGTTTAACCGTTTAGTAGTTTGTAGATTGTATAGAACATTATTATTATAACTGTAAAAAATAAAATAGTAAGAATTCAATATTTTTGATCTTAGACATTTATTTTTTCAGTGTTGATGATTCCAATGTTAGTAAATAATAGTATAACTCCTAGGAAAGTATTAAGCAAGATTATATTACATAAAACATCATATTAAGATTTATATGGYTTAWTACCACGCTTATTGATTTGTAGATATTAGATAGAGTAAGTAGATTAGTAATGAGTTAATGAAATTACATCCCAATATTAGTAACTATTAAGGTATCGAATAGGTAATAAAAGTATAATAATATAGAGTTATATWTATCACACTAAACCATTGAATAAATAGCTAATAATATAATGAGCGGTTGCGTTTAAACACCCAAAGTAAGGTTAGGTGAATAAGATAAACAAATAAATACTGATTTTAAATACTTACTGTTGGGGATTGTAAAGTATTTTAATGTATCCCYGTTAAAAGGATTTCCAATCTTCAATATTTTTCGGTATAGACGTAAATAATTTCTATTTTTTTTTCGAATTATTTTTAGTTATTTATAGGCTAAAATAGATAAAAAATGTTAAAGTCACCATTTGTGATTTGTTTTTATTCAATAATAAAATGTATGCAATTTCTAAGACCGACAAAGTGTTTTCAATCTAAGGAAAAACACTGCAAGACCATTAGTCGCTTTTTCGGTCGGTTTAAAATGTCAAATATTTGTTGAAAAAAACCGGTACGGTGGAGAGAATAAAAAACATTTTTATTTGAAGGAAAATCAATGAAATGTGCTTAATGAAAATTATTAAAGACGCAAAATTGTGTACAACAAAAAATGCGGAAGAAAAATAATATTTTATTTTATCATATATTGAATGAGAAACATATAATCGATATAAAATATTTTGTAAACATTATTATTTATCCATAAAAAAAATATGAGACTTAAATAATATTTAATTATATTGCACACAATATTATATAGTATTTAGTAAAAAGAGTGCCGGATCTAAAGGGGAGATGGTTCCTCTTGTCACGGATGCTGCTTGTACAAGGCTACCTGAACGTGTATTTCATAAGTTTAAAAACCCAAGAATTTATAATTTTAAAGAAGAAACGAACCATAAGAAAAAAAAAATACTAAACAGTTATGATTTARTCACTATCTTGTAGTTGTGTATTAATAATGTATCTTTTCACCTACCCACTGCGTATTAATTTTTAAACGTGTTCATTACTTTATACACAACAGAACAAAGTGATGTGCCAAATATAAACTTATAACAAAAAAATGCACGGTGAATGGATTGTGAGGATACAACAAACGTTTTCTCTGCGAACAAGAAGGCCTATAAAACAAATGTTTAAAATTRTTTCGTCTGCTGGTTATTAATATTCTTATATTAAGTATCTAAATAAAATTTTTTCGTTCTGTTCTTTTATAATATAATCTGTTTCGCACATTTAATAAAGCAGAATCTACGTCGAGTTGTTTTGAAAACATTTTTCCATAAAGATCAATTCTCTTTAAATTAAGAAAACAATTAGGAAGTCATTATAATRCAYCTTAGATCCGGCATTGTATACGCTTTTATCGGTGTCTATCTTAAAATGTATRCAATAATTTATTCTAATATTTGGTGCACRAAAAATTTCACTTAACAGATATATCAATTAAATATAATATTTTATGATATTATTGATGTTGAACCGTATTGGTTTGCGAGACAAGTTGCAAATGACTTGAGCTGTTCTACGGTTTAGCAGAGTTTTTGAACGATTTCCGTTAAACCATTGAATTAGTTTATTCCGCAGATTATATTAAACGATATGGTGCAACTTACATACAAGCCATGTAACTCTCRAAAATTTAAACAAATTAAAACCTACCTCAAATGGGTATCACCACTTATAGGAAAAAACAGTTTTTATGAAAGAAGATTATTGATTTGATAACTAAGYACGCATCACTGATGTCGATCACTAGCGCCAAATCACTCACCGTTGTCATGTTGCATGATACAATATTAATTACAGTAAATGAGATTCCGTACGATAGTTTTTTTCCTCACAATATGTGGTCTTACTGCGTTGAGGTAGGTTAGATTAAGTTCAGAAGTACACCATCTGATTTTTTTTCCAATTATTATGGTTAAATCTTCAATTTGGTTGTACGTAAAATGTCGACTGTAATAATATATTATTTGATCGGTGATTGACTGTCGGCGAAGCGTGGAAACTGCTGCAACGGCAATGACGACTAAGCGGCGACGGTGGTGGCCGCYGGCGTGGTCTGATCCGCCGACCAAGTACCGGGAGTGGACGTCCCGGTCGTCAGGGAGGCCATGTTGTCGGTGGCCGCCGCTGCCGGGACCGCCGGTGGCGTGGGTGCGGCCGTGGTGGTACGGTTGACGGACGTRGTCGTATCGTAGTACTGAGTGGCCTGGTCCAAAGCGGTCTTGATGATGGCCGGAACGCACGGGTTGGTGTCCCAGAATGCGGTGCTGCAGCCCAGCACGTCGAAACACGTGTACCGGATGGGCGTGTTGGCCGGGGCGCAGCACGACAGAATGGCCCACACGCACCGGGACGGTTCCTTGCCCTTCTCCGATCCGCCAGCCACGATGGTCACTTCTTCGACGTCGTCATCCGGATTTGGTCCCTGTGGGCACACAATTTCGTATAAGGTCCACACACCTGCACACGCGTTACTGAGGGCCGAGGGTCGAGCGATTACTAGTGACTAAACTCCCGTGGGTCGGATGAGTGTCCGAAATCCTCGTCGAGTTTTCATAAAATAAATAAATAAATACTTTTTGGGAAAAAAATTACAGTAGGTACCAAGTTTTCAGTTTTCAAGTGAAACTTCTCTACGTAGTTAATCCAATGTATAATAATTATGTAATAATCATTTATATATAATAATAATTATAAATTATAAATATCGATTGCTGCAGATTATAATAATATATTAAATTATTGTGTTTTTAATATAAACCTACTGGTAATACATTCAACATCAAATAGTCCCATTGGTAATTTCATATTAAATTTTTGACTTGAAACTTTAAAAAAAAGTAATGCCTATAGTGAAATGAGAGTCAATAAAATACATAACAATGGGATCAAATAAATAAATTATTTTTTGTGTCATGAAGTTGAAAGTAGAATCTCATCAGTTTACGCGAATCTTTGCTACGAAATCGTTTATTTTCACTATAATATTATGGATATCACTAAAATCTATGAAAGAAATTTCACTTTTTTTGCAGTTTTTGCACCCACATACCTACACATGGATTTTTTAAATATGAAATATCGACGTGGGAGTGTTGAGAAAACATGGAATTAAGATAGTAACGTGGTCAAGTGTTTTTTTTATTTTTTGAGAAATTTAATGTTACATACAGTTATTAATTATCGCATTTTACCCGGTTAAGAAATTTTTAATTTTGTCCTTAAATTTAAGCTGTATAATTTTATTTAGTTATAGTAAGTTAATCGTAGAAGTGCTTTACAATTAGTATCCACTCCATAAAAAAACTGAATAACATCCATTGAAAATCTCAACAACTACACTTACACTGCTAGAGCAAGAATCGAGAATAGGTCGAAATATCAACAATGGATAAAARCCTTATGTTTTAATAGTTGTTCACAAGGAAACATTTTTGGAAATATAAAGTTCCTTAATTTCAATTGTTTCASAAAAGTATGTATTTAAGGGTMAAATAGAATCTTGTCGATTAAGTATAGATCTGTAGCGATCTGTGATAACATTGGATCGAATACTCAGATGTTTTGACTATGTATTAGTACTCAATAGTATTCAATTTATATATTTTTCTCTTGGCAAATCTTTTATAATTTACGTTGCTCGACATTTTGGATACTATGACAGTAAAMAATGATCATACTAAGTTTTTAAATACTGAATAGTACCTTATTATTTTACTGAATTCATGAAATTTGCAAATCGATATTTTAATTTTTGCTAGCTGTGATAGACTCATATATTTGTATAATAATAATAATAGTAATAAATATGCATATTCTAATATTCTAAATTCTGATAGGATGTTATTATAATGTTATTTAGAAAGAAGAGATAAATATTGAAGAGATCATTATTTATTGTRGCTAAACCTGTCCCTATTATAATATGGTAGTATTAAGCTATTGTCTAGTTGTCAAGTTAGTAGTTTCAACGTACACCTCCACCAATGCTTATAGTTTTTATTTACACATCAAACGTACTTTTTGCAAATTATAAAAAGCAACTTGACTCCTATATTATTATATTTAAATGTATATGTTTAAATTCCTGTTAGTTAAAGTCGATTAAACCGTGTTTAGATCAGCCAAACAAACTTGGAATAAACACATTTTAAACGTTAAAAACGGTTTTTTTTTTCAACAAACTCTGGGCCACGGTAATGCGTCWTTAGACGGGGTACGTATGTCGTATACGCATATGATCACTGCTGCTTACGTCTTCGTCGGTGCCGTCATCTCCGTCATCACCATCGTTGTCACCGTCCGTGGGCGCTGTCCCATTGGCCGCGGAAACCGTACAATTCGATTTGGTCTTGACGACGATCACCAGCACGTCGTTGGGTCGTTTGCCACCCCTCGGCGGCAGGTACCTGGTAGGGACATAATAATAAGGAATCACCCACGACAGATGCTGCAACTCGTACCTAGGGCGCGGTAACTGGTATCCCGTGTTCGCCAGCGGGCTGAACGGTGGCGGTCGCTGTACGAGCTGGCTAGTGCCGGGCTGGAATTCGGCGGGGTTGAGCAGCACGAACTGGGACTGCTGCAGCGGCTGTTCGATGCCGTTCTGGAACAGCCTGGCGAAACCGGTGCGTAGCTCGTTACTGAACGACGTGCTCGTCAGTCCGGCGTTGGAGTGGGCGCCCCTCATGGACAGCATCGCACTCGCAGTGATCACGAACCACGTTATCCACATTATGCCACAGTTATAGTGATGGCGAAGGTGGTGCACGTCCTGCTGTTTCACAACTCTCGCTGACTTTTGGAATGGCTCTACAACGAAACACCACAGAAAACCATTCAAAAATGTGAATATCATATATCTATTTAAGATTCACTACTTCGCGGTCTCGTGGAATCGTTGTACCTACTACAACAGTCCACATCAAATAAACTGGTGGTTAGTGGCTGCTATGACGTGCTATAAGTAATCACAACATAATTTATTTATCGGATAGTGTTCACAAATCTAAGACCGCGAATTAGTATATTATACTGGCACTAGCTAAATAGTGTGGCGAACAAATAATAATTATTACTTGGCGCAATATTTTCCATAGTGGTGAGAAGGAACGAATAATTTCTAGCTGGTACAAAGTAAACTTTAGTAATAGTTCTAATACCGAATGTGTTTGGTATGATCGCTATCATAATATTATTACTGTAATTTTTCAAAATCTATTGCCAATCGAATACGTGTAATATTCTATTACATGTACGAAAAATTATGTTACTCAAAATAATAACGGTATAGATGTACAATGTATTTTATGGTTGCATATATGTAGTTTGGACCATAGAACCATACTCTGCGTTATAAAACACAAAAAGTCCAAAAATATTATTTCCGTTGGCTGGCACCATAATATGTCATCGGTWGAACGGATGTGAAACGATTAAAAACCCATATCACATAAGAGACTATTAAYTAATATATTTTTATCATCCCACTAACAGCAAATTTATAAGAGTTTTGTAAAATACTGTCCTTCATTGTTTTTAGTTTACGATTCAGTATATCTCAGTAGAATATCAACAAATGTTTGGGCATAAGTCTATCCTAATATTAGTCGAGTCATTTATATATATATATATATATATATTAAGATGCATACACTACACAAAATGATGGGTCGATGGAATTGGAGGTTTAGGCCCTTAGCACCTTACATATAACAAATATATTATTTTTTATTAGATGTCATTGTGACAAACATAAGAAGATTTTCTTCAATTCCAAAAATTKCTCGGAATTTCGCACTTTGTACAGTGTACACTTTAATTTGTTTGCCCATCTGATGTTAGAAAAGAAAAGCCACTAGGCCTATTAGCGTTATCGCTATGACCGACAGCGACATGACAAGCGTCGTCAAATTACACACTAGGCAAAAAATAATTGTAATCCAAAATAAATCCTTCGACAAACTCGACTTAAGCGCCGGACCAGCATCACTACTAYCATCACCACTACCACTATCATCATCTTCATCATCATCATCATCCATTATACAATCACCATCACTGTCTTTTTGGCCATTCTTAAAGGGTCGWGAAACTGTCGAAAGGTCTAACCCTTTAATCCTCGGAAAATATATGTTGTTTGTTGACTGTCCGGAACCGACAAGCATTGTGCACACATACACGCACACACCCACGCACACGGGCGCGCGGGCGAAATGATAAAACGACTAAAACGTCTTCGTTTGAGCCGAACAAAAGCGATTCGCATCGACGACAAGTGGCAACAGCCGATATGACATTCCACTTTTGTCGCATGTAAAACGACAATACATAACAATCATATAACAATGCCAATACGTCTCACCGCCACCGTCATCACTCGTGAGTCTTTGTACGCACAGCTTTGTGGTGCATAATCTCCCGCAATATTATGTTTAGGCCCTTCGTTATCCTTCATATTATTATAATAATAAGCRCGCGTATCACACCTGCAAAACAAACTACGTTTTCCTTTCGGGTCGCCTTTCCATCGATCCGTCCGCGGTTATAGTCAGACGAAGAGCTTATATTATGTTATACGCACCACGTTTCGACGTGTGTATGTCATACGTATAGAACACGACATAATAATAATAATAATTATATTATTATAATCGTCGCGAGCGTCAGGCGAATGCGGACAGCGGACCAGCGCCAACAGTCGCATCATGCACACATAATCACGCGTGTTACACTTGCCTACCCGACCCATCTACTGCAGCAGCAGGATTTCAGTGGGAAATCGATGCTAATGGTACGTCCGGGAATTCGGCGAACGTATTTTTTACACACTCGCGGGAAATCACCTCGCTCCCCCCCCTTCACCCTTCGTCATTGCCGAAAGTGTCGCGAATAACGGCGGTGATGGTGACAAATTGCCCATATATAAAACACTATAAACGCTCGTCCCGCGTGTGCCACGAAACTTGATCGGATCGAACCACGTCAACTGTCGCCGGCAATTACGGTGCAACGATGTGTCGCTCGCTCGGTATATTGAGCGTAAAATCGGATTCAAAAGCACGTTGTGCCTCCACATCATACGGTCGGTGTCGTCCGTCGTTAATCATGCCGAACGGTCTGCCACGATAAACATCGCCGTAATATACATATATCGATATACATATATCTGTCGCATCCACATAGTGAAATCGCTCATTTCATGAACTGGATATCCAGATAGCGACATTTGTCCAGATCGTGAATTTTGACGAAAATACATTATATGGACATCCATTTCATGAAATGGACAATACCTATCTATACTGTGTACTTTGTGTAATTATTATGAAACAAGATAGTTTTATTATTTTGCAATAAATAATCATATTATATCATAATATTATAATTTATTACTAAGTTATAACTATAATTTTCTATATTGTTCTATGAACAAAAATATTAACAAAATAATTAATCGATTGCCTTAAATAATAATTAGAAAACTATAGGTATACCTATACATTTTCTTCCTACTTATTTATTTTTACATGCCGATTGATTATGACATCGACTGTTACATATCATATTATTATTTTTAAAACAAGCACGCCTACTTTATTGGTAAAGAGTTTTCGATTTACATCATTACATGATCAAGAAAATAATGCTCACCCTCCTGAAATATTTTTAATCATTTCTTACACTGAAAATTCAACATTTTTATCAACTTGATCAGTAGGTAGTCAGAAATTGAGTTGATTTTTTTAAACATTCACATTTTTATCACATTTCATATTTTGTCCGAATGTATGCAATCCTTTTTTAAAAATTAGTATCTAAGTCACCCAATAAAWTATTTTGTTCATATTTTTGTTTATAGACCAATATAGAAAATTATAGTTTTGTTGTATTTCAATAACTTGACGAACGTGTTTGTTAAGTTCTGTCGTCCAATTATTCCAACGAAATACTAGTAGGATATCTTTTTGAACAAATTTAGAATGTCACGTTTTAATAATGTACCTTGTAGTTTATTAATYGCTTATATTTATACGAAACGATTAATACACATCTTTTGAACGTGCAGACTTCAAATAAACGGCAATTGAAAGCAATAAAGACTGATAAAAGCTTATTCAAATATTTTTTCTGTGGTATAAACGTAAAAGCTGAACGATAAAACTAAAAATTAACATTTTACATTCCGAGAGTTTCAAAATGCATGGGTCGAGATTTCTTTCAAGTTTTTGCGATTACCTTTTTTTTAAAGTGAGCCAAAGCCATTTGATTTTATAAAATAATATCAGCTTATAATAATCAAATATTAGCATAAATCATTATAACTATATAATTATTAATTTTTTATATGTTTATTGTTTATTATATATATAAGCACATACGAGTAATAAATTATGAAAATACAAAGCTATGAGTTGTGTTCTATATAGATTTTATATTTCAAAATACAAATTTAGTTTTAATATTATTAGTCTTTAACGTTAATAGAATATTAATACCTATATTATAATTAATACTATAGCTTATAGTTATAGAGTTATTTTAATACAATATACGAATAAATAGTAAATTTATTGTTTGTCATTTTATATCAATTGTTTGACGTATAAGTATACCACASTACAACAGTACACCTACTGTTATCAAATTAATTGAATGAGTGTACAAAGTAAAATTTGATTCTTTCTATGATTATTCAATTGAATAATAATTTAATTTTGGAAAGTCAACATTAGGCATACATTGTAATTTTTAATGATGAATTATTTCAAGAGTATATTATTATCATTATATTATGGTATAATATCGTTCGATACCATAAACGCCAAATMGGTATCCTTACACGACTCTATTATTATGGTTTGGGTAAAATAAACTTTGGTTGGCAACGAGCCATCAAGGTCATGTGACTAGGAATCAAGATGGACGCGATATTCGTCGTCTAACACGATATGCATCTGTGGTGATGTAGTTGGGGTGGAGCGTATCGGCGTCGTCGCATACTGTATAGACTTAAAATCCACCGAGAAATCCATACGAAATTAAAGTCCCGAGAACGATCTTGTGCATAGTACACAAACACATACAAACACACACACACAGCTTGTATATAGWAACTTATGTCTAATGGCTCTAGTGATTTTTGGTCCGAGAAAATGGGTGCCCGGTATAGTAATGTATCCCCGAGCTTGACGGTATAGGATCGCCGCCGCCAAAACACAGTGCACAGCATTGTACGCTCAATGCCTCTACATGATGTTGTATAATTTGTCTAAAAGCTTTCTCGCCAAATTGAATCACTCGGAAGACGAGAGGAAAATCACGAAATACGTACGTACTTGCATCTACTTGTATTCTCCGCATAATATTATCATCTGTCAGGTCACTGACTCGACGGTCAACGTGTTACAACACATTTGTGCTATATAAGTTTAATACGTGCCTACGTAGTTTTAATTTTTATAGTAGTAAATTGTRATATTATTGGTATTATTAGTGTCTAGTAGAAGTAGTACTCAAGAAACTTATCTAATTTGTAAGTTCGGTGATAGAGAAATGTCGTTGTMTTTGTGGATGACTCATTCGCATGTGCTGGTCTCCGAAGAGGCACCGTTCCGCACAAACTAACKGCATAGAATATATTAATATTTGGAGTTAATCTGAACCAATAGGATTTCTTTTGATTTACTAATGTTATTAGTATGAATATACAAATATTATCAAATTTAAAAGAACAAACTATATTGGCTTGTAAGTTATCATTRATGCTTTAATTTTTAAACAAGTATTTTAATAGTATGATATGATAATTCTTAAAATTTATTTTTATCATTTACTTTAAAGGTCAAAGAAATATCAAATATCAATAAAAAATCAATTCATTGTAATATTAAAGCGAACAACACAAAATTTGTTCACCTAAACTTGCTAGGTATATTCTACGTTTTTGTATAAAACGAAGAAAACAAAATGTTTTGAACCGAATGCTTGATTGTCAGAAAAATGTAATGCCTCGGAAAAATACGGCTTTTGTTATTTTTTTTTTTCAGAACGATATGCCAAAGTGGCAAAGTATAATAAACAGGCCACAGTATTTTATAATATTTAAACAGCTTCCGAAATGACAGCTTAAATAAAATTATTGATTTATCTTTATTCTCGATATTATTAGGTAGGTAGGTGTTAAAAGTGATAAAATGACGACCCTTTGCTGGGAAATATTGCTCTGTACGCGATACACAAATGTTTATTAAAATATAGTGTTACACGTACACTCGTAATAATCGTTCACTTTGATTATTCGTACATTTCGCGTACGATTTTAAATSTATAGTAGCGTAACTGGGATGTTTTTTTTTTCCGACCCGACAAACRTGTTTTCAATATATTATCATACGTCGAAGTGACTAATTATTATTGCAACCGATTGGTGACTCCAATACGCCTCGACAAATGTACTCGAACAATTCTATAATTATATTATTTTGTATTATTATTATTATTATTATTACTATTATTATTATTATTTTTTTATTAAGGGGAACCCGCGGCAATTGGGTGTAGGGTGGTATGGTAGGGGTTATTTTTGTATAATTGTTTGTAGGTTTTTAAGTGGTTAGGGTTGTAACATGTGTTTGTGTATGTGTGGCAAGGATATTTTGTATTATTATACCTATTATGTAGTATAACTATGTAAAATAATAATAAACACAAAATGATTTCCTTCTCCAAATCAACCATTTTGTTAATGTATTTGTATTTGTTTGTTTGCCAAAGTTCTTCCATACACTGTACGGAGTTGAAGGGATCACCAAAAATAAAAAAAAATGGAATCCTCGGCAATACTCCAGTTGCATTACCTACTTTTCAGAATTAGAAGACTAGGTACGTTTTCTACTACTCATCTTTATTTTTTCTTTTCATCTCTATATACTTCTTTTTCTTTGGATAACACGCGATGTCTATTACTTGTTATATTACTTATATAATATGTTGTTATATAGTTATCTATATATTGCTGTAAATGACACACTCATACACGAACAACGCGATACGCCAGTTGGCGATTACATTTTTATTTTATTGCTTGAGCCGATCTTGTTATTATTATATATTACTATTACTGTCATTGTTTATTTGTTTATTTAATATTCGTAATGAACCATTTTATTTTCTAAAAAATGTTTATGGCATGATTATTGGCACGATTAACAAATGTTAAAACTTAACCAAAAGTAGCCGGAAGGTCGAAAACTTAATGCAATTTGAAACCGACGCGACAAAATCGTTTCGCGGTAACCCAAAACCGTCCCAACAGCTTAATTTGTTTCGCAAAATGGTAATGATTAGCCATGCATCGTTGGCTGTACTTTAGATAATTTATCGTGGCATTAACTTTGTTCCCAACGCATTTCCGTTGATAATCGGTATATTGTATACCTACTAGCGAAAGGATAATATAGCGAATTTTGCTCGTCCTAAACTATTCCACCATCGAAACTAATCGAATCGTTTACAAATTCGTATTAAGTTGTGAAAAACGCAGACGTTTTGAATAATATTTTAATAAATGACTAATCGTTATATTAGATAATATCAATATGGATGATAACAAAATAACTATTGACAAATTTTCATAAGGAATTTCATGGAAAACCTGAAGCAGCTGTTTGCCATAACGTGAGAGAAGTATGTTGTTACATTTTGATATTCTATATACCTACTCTTATAAATTATTGTGATATAATTGTTGATATGATTAATAGTATGATTATACGTTTACAAAAAAAAATAAAAAATAATACAGTGATATTACATTTAAAATCAGTACCACGATGAATTAAATAAACTTTTTTGACAAAATTTTAGTTAGTCGTTTACAAAAAAAAATAAAAAAATAAAATAGGTAATAAGACATTTTTAACTTAGTTTAGTTAAGTATCTTTTGCTTATACAAGAAATTAAAACTAGGTGTTCAAGAATATGTGTGAGAATTCGATTTACAACATCGTTTTAAAAACGATTGCATGAATACCAAACAAATTATATTTATTTTCTGGCGTTGAAAACTACACGTTTGATTACATATACCTATACATTATTATGTACTACATTTTCAGAGGAATGTATGTTATGTTTTCGGAACGGCTTATACTATTTTCGTGTATGCCTTTGTTAATTTTTTTTTAAAATCTATTTAATGGCTTACGTAAAAAAAATACGCTTGGATGCATTGACAATGAATTCATAATATTTATATATTTTGCATGTATATTGCACTGCGCAAGAGTAAAATAAGAAGAAGAGAAGAAGTGTAATCGTATGTGGACCATTGTGGACGTGGTACCCACAACGTCGGGAGTTTCTTCGCCTAAAAAACCATGACCGATATTTCATGGGTTTTTGAGCAATTGAATTGGTACTAATAGTACCTGGTACTTAATATTATAATATTTACGTAGGTAGTGTAATTGTAATACAATAATTTTCACTCACGGTTGTTTGGTTCGGACTTAACGTCGTGACCGGCGATCAACACAATTATTACATTTTCGCGCGCATCCGTAGTTTGTCTATCGTGGTTCGCGTAAGATCGAGATCACGGTCGCGGCCAATTCACACTCAGCGTATATACAGTGTGGGCACGCAGCATAACGGCGAGTGGTCGTCCTTGCCAGCGTGTCTGACAGCCAAACCGTGAAGATGCTTGCAACTTGTAAGACCTGTGTGTGCGCGTTCACGGCCCGGGTTTTCGGTTAGGGGAAGCGAGAGGAACAGCGTGCGCGCAAAAAGAGCGAGAGATGAATTCAATTGACCCAATGTTAAGCAACAACAAAAATAACATGTATGGTCTCAGTCGTGGCACAAGCCATTTACCGATCTTTGAAATATAGGTATCGGCAGGTGAAGTGCAGCAAATTATACATCTATTGAYCTTATTATGGATTACCTACTCTAGCAGTTTGCAGGTTTCTGTCTGTATACATAATTCTTATATCTATATCTATAAAGATTATATTTTATACATATRCCTACATTTTCTGTAAAATATATCGTCAGCGAGGTATTTARCGATTGATACAAAAAATACTTTTTTCTACTCGTWGTTTTCTATATACGACGATTACATTATATCATRTACTGAGCTGTCCTGCATCGATTCTAAAATTATCGTCCACTGAATTAATGAATGCGACAAATAGTAAATTAATGATGGACATTTTTATAATATTATAGGCATATATATTATATAAATGAAAATCACGAATTTTTTGATAAATAATAATTTTTATCCGCCGGGGGACTGCCTTTTGACTTAAATCAATATCCGATCGAGCGCGTGGCAGGTGGTGGAATGTCTATACATAATAGATCGCGATCGAGGAAACCTGCGCGACTAGGAACATGGTTTAAAGACCGTTGCCCCGTTAAGTACCTCGTTAATAGTATCCTCCTCAGCACATTTATACATGTATACATAATATTATATGACCTAACCTATGTGTATTGAATATATACGTGATATKTATCTCTGGGGAACGCCTTCGCCGACCGATGTATTGACTAGTAAAACTGCAGGTTTCAGTGGTTGGCTGTTTGTCTGTCGGATCCCTAGGGACGGCACAGGTGTCTGTGCAACATAAGTAATAAAAAAATAAAATAAATAAAAGTTCTACTGTTGGAGCTAAATGACACACTGGATGTCTTTACATCAATAGACACAGACACATTGAAACGTTGCGTTCGTCGTTTTCAAAAGTGAAAAACATAGGATAACCTTAAATTACGTAACAACAAAATGTTTTGAAAGACATAATTTAAGTAGTTTTACCTTTTTCGATAAAATTATTGTTTCGAGATCAAACAATCGTCTCGACCATTGTAAATACTCTATTGATACCGTTTGTGGCGAGCGCCTTTGCAACGCGTAGTTTTGGTATAGAAATAGGGCTCATTGTAAACAAATATTAATTTACCACATGCGGTTTTAAACGGCATAGCTCTAACGAGAAACGGAATTCCGACGATTAAACACTGCAGTGGTCCGTTAGCGATGACGTTATAATAACAATCAGGGAAGCGGTGGTCTGCAGTGTTTACCTGTATTCGTATCCGTCATATCATTTTATCATAAAATTGTTATATTATTATGTGGGGGTTGGAAAAATACTGCAAGTGATGTTTGACGATAAATCGAGCAGCYTGCGATACACGAGCTACGTTCGTTATTGCAGTCTTCGTGGATAAATAAAGATAACGACATAGCGTGATGGAGTTGTGCAAAGTTTTTGCGTCAACCAAAATAGGAAACGATAGTTTGTTGTTACCTATACAAAATATATATATCGTAGGTAGTGTGATCTGACGGAAGTTCATTTACGCTACAGGGGAACGTTGAGATTAACAAAACGTAAGTGCGCAGCAATCACGGAATACATATATATATATATATTATATATAATATATACATGCCCTACTAAAGGAAATAAGGGCAAAACCATTGCGAGAAAAACGATTTCCTGACACGTACTAAYGAATCACAAACCGTATCAACTATCTGACGGATCTTCGCCCGTCGCCGTTGTCTCCGGTCTGAGATATCAATCAGACTTCAACGCAGTATTTGCACTWCGGCTCTAYTCGGYGGCAGACGCAGCATCCGGTTATCCCCATAACGACCGGAGAGGCCAATTACCGGACATAAAAAATATTTGCAGTTTCGAATCCGGCTAAATTATTTATCRTTCGGCAGTGGTGCGGTGGTGAGTCAGGGGTGTGCGGGTGCTGGTGCAGRAGAGACGCACACGCACGCACACCGAATAAATTCGCATCCGATGGGCCGYGGGCGTGCACGTTATGTTATTATTATTATTGCGGGGGTCTTCTCGGGGACTCGAAAAATATAAAACAAAAATATATACACTGGTATATAATTTACGATCAGCGGGTCAGAGGGCTTGGAAATTTCTCACGCCACTGTAAAATATTAACCATATAGTCTCTCTCCCTCTCTTTCTCTTTGCAGACCGCCGCGTAAATTATGAAAACGCCCAGCGTTATAAAACAATACGTTATATATTATGTTCGGCTGCTGCGAACCGACGGGAGGTATAAAATTTGTTAAATCGCACGCACATTTTTATTCGGAATACTAATAATAATAACATAATATAAAACCGCTATGGTGGACGCCATATTACAATACTGCRTTTCATTACGCTGTTTAGCAGTCCGATATTAATGTCTGATTCATACTTAAAATTTCATCTATTCAATTCATATGTGAAATTCTCAATTATAATAATTATACTTATATAGGTACATATGATGAAATGATGATGTGTATGATTTGGTTTAAATTTGAGAGTTCCATTACTGTGTGTTTTGTGTTATATTCGAGTGTAAGAAAATTTAATTTAATTAACCAATGAAACAAACATGACTTAGTTATATACTATTGATCGTCTTAAAACATTTTTTRGATTAGATTTCATTAAAAATTATGCAATAAAATAAATAGTTACAATGGGATCGATGGTCATACATTTTAGTTTGRTTAGAGCTAGTAAATATATAACTTGAATAAATACTTGAAAGTTGAAATATAATAATAAAATCAGCTGTACATATACTATCTGTTTTTATGCAAACTAACCGTAAACAGATCAGAGTTCGAGTAAAATAGCATTGAAAAAATTGCTTTTATTACTCTGGGAAAGCGAACATATTAAATTTAACTTTTATTTTGGACTATCATTGACTGAAACAAACMGTTACATTTCGTTTTTTGTTYCTAAAACTCACTATGAGTGTCCACAAAACGTCTGGTGATTATTTTTAAATTTCTTACATTATTTTGTGACAAATAATAGTTATTCTTAATTTATAAACTCATATTAAAACGCAAGAGATTTTAATATATGACGAGTCACTTTTCTTTAACGATCGTTCAGAAAATAMCCTAAACATTGCCATTCATTATAAATGTATTAATGTGCAGGTTTAAGACAATTAYATGTTCATGGTGTAGGTATCGATGAACTCAATTAATCACCAATCTATATAATTGGGCTGAAAAATATTAACTCCGCAGTAGCTAATAATTATTTACTTACCACATTTTGATATTCTACACTTAACACATTGGTCAGAAATGTGCTTGGTATTTTTTATTTTTAAGAAACAAATCGATTGTTCTTATGAATTTATAATTATATTTAAAATTTAAAAATATTCATGTTTGATGGTAATTACAATAATTATATTTTGGATTTAGTTTCACGAAAATGTTTATAATTTAATTTCACTGTCACAGTTCCTGAGCTTACCTTCAATTACTTATTGTGTAACGAATTACACACCTACTTATTATTCATTTTATGCTACTATAAATTATTCTGTAAATTACTAAATKACTTGCTTTTATAATTAACAGAAAAAAATATAATACCATTTGTATTTACTTTGAATTAAACTAGATACTATAAATTAAACTGTTTACATGCTAAAGAAAACAATTTTTTATAAAGAGATATTTATTTGATTCTCAAATAACATTTGAATTGTTCGCAGACATTATTAAAACTGTTCATTTCAATACGAACAAGAAATAGTATTTATTTTTGAAAATTTAATTTATTTTAGTTTGATTGATCTAAAACTTTTAATTTTAACGCAACTATTTAATTCAAAAACTTCTATAAACAGTTCTAATATATATATTTAATCAGAATGAAATATAATAGAATAAAAATAAAAACATATTATAACGTATAAAAGTTGATCAAATTATAAATCATAGCATACATTTTCAGATGGTATCGGGATGTTTTCCTGGCACTGTTTGATCTGGTTTAATATTACACAATCGGAACAATTCAAACGTTGGTTCTATGTTCTATATAATGTTATTTAGAATGTATATAAGCCATAAGGACATATTTTGCTCGAAGGTAGAAATATTATACCAYTTTTCAATCTATTTTACGATTTGATATCACAGCAAAGATTGAAACAATAATCTGGAAATCGATAGAAATCCGATCTCATAGCAACTATAAGCAAATGTTTAATTCATATTACCTACGTAGRTATAGGTACTCGTTATAATAACGACAGTGTGAGAACAATAGCGACAAAAAATAGTGTGGCAATAATTCTAATAAAATATAACATAATGGTGTTACTCACGATTATATCGGCGAAACTATTTGGCGACTTACAGACACTTTAAGCACACAAAACGTACTGACCGATGGTTGAAAAACGCAGCACGTCCAGGTTTCCCAGGTATTGCCGATTGCCCTTGGATGTCTGCAGTGGACCATGCACCGTGGTAAATCGGGTCTTCGAGTTTCCGGGGGGGAATTAATGGTTAATAACAATAATGATATGTCCTCAATGAGAAAATAAAAATTAATCATGCCGCGAAAAACTTCCGATCATGGTAGGGTGACAAATTCCGGCTATACTATATATAATATATGTATATATAGATATAGTAACGGGATTATCGTCGGATATGTCGCATGACAAATCGCGGGGTTCATTATCATTGTTATTATTATTATTTTAGATCTGTGTGCCTTTTTTTTACCATTATCATTATTATTATCTGTTAATCCGGAAAATTTTTAATACAATTAGCCGGTACGCGTGATGTYGTTCAAGATTAAAAAACGTTTTACGGGAAGGTCAGCGGTGGCGATGGTAGCTTTTAAGTTTTTGCTGTGAACGATAATATTGTTCAGATACCATACCTTATATAATTATGCGGGACCCGATAGTATTAAGTCCTCATGAATCCGTTGCGGCGTTACCAGAATACCTACGTATAACAACTACTTATAATGATTATCTTAGTCGACTTTCATAATAAAGTTATAGTTCAAACTATAATAATTGTATAATAAATGATCATCACTGCAGCTATTTTTACTCGCAGAATATTTTGGATAAAAATAAACGCCGGAATGGTGCACACGCCCACATCTGTATACGGTGTATACACTCACTTAAATATAGTATTATTATACACGCGTGCATAGTTTAGATATATTTGCTTATGTCATATTATTACGTTTCGTTAAGCGCATTTAAATATTTACGAACTACTGTTAAGCCATATGTATATATGACAGCGGTGATTCTGCGACTAGTCTCGGGAAAAGTGCATCGTTACAATGGCCTACTTCGTTTCATCGTAGTATAGTGTTTGGTTTAGATAAAGCCAAGAGCAGTGCTAAATAAAAGATTAGCCTGCAGATGTGTTTTTAGTTTTATTAGCGGGACCTCTATTAAACTCTGGTACCTACGTTACTTTAAGGCGMATTGAATCCGCTGGTTTACGTATAAAAATAAACCAGCATACATATCGGTAYAGGTGAATATTGTAGTATATAGATATGTAAATCGTATTCATATCGTTTTTATTTAAATTTCTTAGCATGTGATAATATTATGTTTCAAATAAAAACTTTAGTTATTTTAGATCGAAATTCGTTCTTTACTCGTATCTCTCTGTCGATAGACGTGCGGCGTAAAAGTTAGATGGCATGGTGAAAAAAATGAATAAATAAAAAATGAAAAAAGTTTCTAACTACTGTAGTCTGTAAGTACCTACATAGCAAGAACAACTTATTTAAGCATTTTGAAAACAATAACAGACGGAATCGATAGCTGTTTGTATTAAYGGAAGGAGGAATATCTTTTGTCAAACGCATGCGCAAAGTTCGACATTTATCTTAGTAAAAAATCCCTTCTACAACGTGTATCACCTAGCTGTATTACTTTTATTTAAAAAAAAATCGAGTTTCTCCAATGAACTAGCCAAATTCGCAGTAGTATTTAACCCGGAAAAATACCAGAAATACATCCTACTGTTATTAAATTAAAGTACATCATATAATATTATTAATGTTGACGTCTGGTTGATGTTTTTCTGAGACAAACGTTTAATTATTGCACCAAAAATGTGCCATATCATTGTGTCGTCTTAATAGCGCACCGCATTGAACTCACTATTAATACGGTCTACACTTCCATCTGACAGAGGGTACGAAGTTTATAGACATTATATGTATCTAAGTATAATAATATAATAGTCATATCATTACAATATTATTTTATATTGCTGCGGTATTGATAAAACCTTTCGTGTCATATCTCAACAAAAACTACGACTATACATGAGTGTTTAACAATAAAGTTTTATTGTATTATACCTTCGCATAATGTAATATATTATTTTTATTCTTTAATAAACGTTGAAAATATAAAGTTTGTTGTTTAAATTTGGAGTGCTAGCAGAGTATAACGTTATTGTAATATATTATTTATAATGTATACATATTATGTCGTAACCACTTCGTGAAATCGATTTTTTCATGCAAAGATGACCATTTCGTGAAATGGAAACACGTTTTTTACACTTTGAGAAATTCAAAAATATTTCACTAAATGGTAAATTTGAGTGACCATTTCATGAAATATTTTTGAATTTCACAAAGTGTAAAATACGTGTTTCCATTTTACGAAATGGTCATATTTTCATGAAAAGATCGATTTCACGAATTTAAAACGACATATAATTATTATTATACTTACGGTGGCGACGAGATAATMCATTATGTATGCGGTCAAGATTTCAAGACTGCATAATAGTTGGAGAGTACCTTTATACGAGTTCGGAGTTTGGTCACGATAAACGAGTCCTAAAACCTTTACTGAACGCTTAATAATACGCCTTTTTTTTTTTGAACATATTTGACATCAGTAGCAAAGGCCATTAATCACAATTAGTATAAATAATTTTTTTTTTTAGATTTTATTATACAGGTTGGTTTTCTAAAAAAAATTGAGGAACCGTGCGATGGTGGTAGTGTCCGGCCCGAGAGCTGCGTCCAACGTGTTAGGTACGTTTGAATTTCTTCGTTCATCCGTAAATTAGCGGCATTCCGTGATTATGTGGCAGACTATTTGTTCAGTTCACAAGAAATGTACATGGGTTTTTCTTCCTTTTTAATGAGGTATCCATGTGTATAAGACGGGTGTGGCTGATGTGGAGTCTTGTTTATGAATATATTATTCCTTCTATTCGGGGGAAATYAGGCCAGCTGAAGATTGTGTTTTTTATTCTTCTTAGCTTAGTGTTCTTATTAAGCCAGTGCGTTTTCCATTTAAGAGGTATGCATTCCTTGATTTMGTTTTTTAAATCTGCATGTGTWTAGCTTTTGGATGTCTGAAGATTTTGTTGCTTTCTTGGAATTTTCGTATGCTTTTCCGTTACCTTMAATATTACTGTGCCCAGAGATCCAGATCAGGGATATATTTGAACCTCTGAATTTTGATTGGATTATTTTTTCTTGAATGGACATTGCTTTGTCTGTTGTTTTCGTTTTGATTTTTAGGATTTGTAGTGTGCTTAGAGAGTCTAAAAGTATTACATTGTTTTCAAAGAAGTTAACGTGTTCGAATATGAGTTCCAMTGCTTTTAGGGTTGCTATGGCTTCTGCTTCTCTAGATTGAACAGATTTCGGGAAGTTCAAAAGTGGAGATGAGGTTTTCGTTTATAATTGCTATTCCTAGTCCTTTTTTTGATTTGGAGGTGTGTGTGTGTAATAAAGGTGGTCGTTTACTTTTTAATTTACCAATAAAATATTACGCGTGTATGGAAAAATGATCTATAACCGACAGCTATTATTACTTAGGATCACAATTGAATTATTAATTCATACTACGAGGTCGTAGATTCGTATTGTTTTGGTCTGTGCCTGGTTTCTCGTGACAACCGTTTTGTTTAGTTTGTCTCTATTTGGTGCACACGTCGTCTTTGCAGTAACGAATACGTCCGGATAAAATGTTCTTGTACGATTGCGTCACTTATTTTAAAAATAACAACCAATTTCACACTCAATAATGCTAGTTGTATTTACCGAGTACAAATATTTATATTTACGAGTACGTGCTTAAAACTAAAATGAAAAAAAAAAGTTTTAGTTACTACCTGTACCTACTTTATTATTTTTAATTAAGTTGGTAAGAAATAATGTTGATATTATTGTTCACTAGTTCAGTACTCGTCAACAATAACTCAAATATCGAGTAGAAATTCATTTATATGCTGTCTCTTGCGGTTACTTCGTCTTGATGACCATTTGTTTTAATTATTACTATTATTTTGTTCTAACAATGAAAACATAATACTAAATTTCATTCAACTCGACTTATTTCGATTATATTTGTTTTAATTATTACTATTATTTTGTTCTAACAATGAAAACATACTATTAAACTTCATTCAACTTGACTTATTTCGATTATATGACATCTATGAATTCTAAATTAATTGAATTATTCTGTAACAGCTATAAGTGTTTAATTTTTACTAAAATTGAACACATAATGTTGCCGTTGGTAATACACTAAAGACTTTATTGTTGCAGAATTATAATAGCTTATTATTTTTAATTAAATTATAATGCCAATACACTTCATCATTTAGCGGTTTTATTTTCATACTAAATATGTTTAATTTACTATCAAAAAAAAAAAACATAAATAAAAATTTATTTTAATACACCATATTCAATTTAAAACAGACTATAGTACCTATAAATTCCAATAAGTCGTTGTTATGATGTCAATTATAAAAATATTTTTCTCACGACCATAGCAAATTCATATACGTATTACAGCGTAATAAACAATATATTATAAACAATACAAAATCATACAATTAAAATAATACTTTTAAAATCTGCACTTTTTACAATATAAAGCTGTATAATGTTTTTGTGTATGGTTTCATTTAGCACTTAACAGTTATAGGAGGTGGAATTTTGTTTTTAAATCTAATATTTAGTGAATTTCTTGTTACATTTTTCGTAATTACAATAGGAATTTTAAAAATAAAACTCAAAAACTTAACTATATTATTACAATTTATCCACTATTTTACTTATTATTATTTTATACGCGTTATTTAAAAAAAATAAATACGTTGCACACGTATATCGTATATTCATTATTATTGTTTGCTTAACGTTCAATACAAAAACTTTGCTTTTCGTTAGAAATAAATATTATTTATTATTGCATACTTTTTCCGTTCATGCGGATACTTCTTATTCAGTATGAACATTAATAATAATAATAATAATATATAATAGGTATGTATATATATTTTTTTAAATGACCCTATAGGCTTTGACTTAATGTACACAAATTCTACTTCACTACATTGAAAATTATTTTCTTCATCTTTTTACTTTCTTTTTAATCCAGAATATACTTAAAGAGTCTAGTAATTATACATTTTTGGCATAAGAAGTCGATGTCGACTAATTTCTAG